GAGGACTTGTTCCCTGAATATTTCTGCCCTTAAAAATTCGACGACCTCTGCCGGGTATTTGAACCCACGTACTACGAGTCATGAGGTGGGAACATTACCTCTAGACTACGGAGGCCGCTTGGTGGTTGTGTAAGTTGAACATCAGACACAAAATAAACACTAACATTTTAGAAATTTCATTAATAGACATTACTTTAACACTACTACTACACATTACAAGAATATTTTGTAAACTTCCCTTGCATTAATACACCCGTACATTATTTTGAATAATATGAAATGCAAAATGTATGGAACCTTTGAAATAAACAGTTCCCATCTCTAGCTGCAGTTTCCATAGATAATCCCTCCAATTTTTTCTCCTACAACATGTGATTATTTTAGTGAACATGCACGCAATCAATGCTGAGAATTTGTTTTATGGGCCAAGAACAAGAATTCAATGCTCGCTGAAGCACTGATACCTCTCACTGCTGCCCGGTGGTCCTATCCGTAACTAATAACTGTACAACACAGTAGAATTGTAAGCCTTAGGCTTTTATACACATGGATGAATCAGTCTTCAGAGCTTTCTTTGTGAAAATTTGTTGCACAAGAAAGGGGGAGAAGAATTGCTATTCTGGATACTAACTTCACACTGTTACTGCATTCATTCATGAGATGATCTCCTGAAAATATAACTACTGTAATTACACAAAGTAAAGGCCACGCCATAGCTCAAGCGGTTAGTCGCTGGCTTCCCACCGCGGCGGCCCGGGTTCGATCCCAGGTCTGGTCAAGTGGGATTTGTGGTGGACAAAGTGGCGCTGGGGTGGGTTTTCTCCAAGTACTTCGGTTTCCCCTGCCAATCTTCATTCCACCAAATTCTCCATCATCATAATTACCCGACGCAGGGTACAATAGGCCAATCAGTGGCCGCCGTGCCGAGTGAACCCAGTTGGACTCCACCCCCCACTAAGCGAAAAAAGGAGAACCTGTAATTATAATAGCACCAACAACAATAACTATAAACAATAATAATGAAAACTATGAAACTTGTCTTACTCTGTAAGAGAACAAACTCCAAAGGAGAATATGTAAAGATGAAATAGGAAGGAAATGTAGACAATTACATAATGAAGAGCTTCACAATCTGAACTCATTGTATTACACCCTTGTTGTAATAAATTAAGAAAGAATGAAAGGGGCAAGGCATTTAGCACATGTGGGAATCAAGAGATTAATATAAAACTTAGTTTAAAACATATCAGGGAAAGACAGTCCAGAGATTTAGATATAAATGGGAGGATAATGTTAAAATATATTGTCATTAACACGTGAAAATATGATCAATTGAAAGCATCATTAAATAAAAGAAAGTTAAGAACATAATGGCTAAAACTCTAGCATCATAATTGGCAGGTACTTGGTTCAAATCTCAGCCTGGACACCAGCTTTCCAGATTTTTCGTGGGTTTCCTCAATCCCTCGTGGCAAACGCAAGGATGAAATCTCAATTTGGGCCATGACTGCATCTTTCCAAATCCTTTCTCGTTCATCTTTCATTCTACTGTTTGATGCTATTTGGTCTATCAGCTGACAGCATTTGTGCTATGTTGTATGCCTTGGTGGACAGGATCTTAGTAATCTGCAATCTCTGTGACCTTTACTCTAAAGTGTTATCAGACCTGCTTGTTTCTTGAGATCAAGCTAAGAGGTAGCAGATAGTGATAAAAACAGATCACACTGCAGTATGTGCAAGTCACTGATGCTTCACTGCCTTCTGTGAGATAGTCACTCAGGTTTGTAGCTTAAGTAACAATACTGATTACAGTGTGTGATTACTGGGTTTTAGGATTTTTTCCATTGTCCAGTATTCTGAACAGAGTGCAACATTTCCAAAACTGGATCTATGTCAATCCTCAGGTGAAGAGGGAGGCACCTACACAGTAGTGGAAATTAACAAGAGCCAATCTCACTCACTGGAATTTTTTCTAGCTTTTTCTAACCAATGTTATTCTGTAGGTGCCCCCCCTTCTCTCAACTGAGGACGGAGAGTGATCCACTTTCTGAAACGTTGTGTTCCATTCTGAATACCAGGTGATGGACAAAGTCCAGAAAGCCAGCAATCCTGAGCATACATGATGCAACAAGATCTTTTCAAGGGGAGAGAACTGGAAAATTTGTTTTAACATAATGTGGCATGTACACTTGTTGCTAGGCAACAATCATGAGAAAAACAGGTATACAACAACCATTCCTATGTAATGGATCTGTAAAGAACGGCCGTTGCAATCATGTGGGCATCCCAACAGACGCAAATGCAACAACTGAACTGCAACAGAGGAATGGTGTTTTCTATGTGGTTTGTACCAAGATTTTAGAAACAGAGCAGTTAGTGAGAGTTAGTCAGTGGAGTGCAGTTGGTAAGTTAGTCAGTTGAGTGGAGTGAAGTGAAAAGTAGTTGGTTGATGAGAGACTGAGTTAGTTAGTCAGAGAACTGCTGGGACTCAGTTGTTACCAACTGTTGCTGTTAGAAGCTGGTAGCTGAGGCCTGGGACAGTTTGGGAATCCAGAGGAAGGGCAATGTCTGAGACTGGAAGCTGCTACAGAGCAAGATGTGAAGATGTGACTGTTGACATTAATGCGTGTGTAACAGTGCACTGTAAAATGTAGTCACACATTGTAACAGAGTGTCCAATAAATGTGATCATCAACCCAAAACCCATCTATGGTCACTCAATCACGTGATAATTCATTTAAACCATTTAAGAATACTTTTATAGACTGCCCTGGTGTTGAGAATTTCTGTATTGAAACATAGGTTGGGGGCCACATAGAAACTGGTGTTATTAATTGGTACATTTCTTTCTCTGTCCATTTCTTTTACTTCTTTTCAAGAATCCAGGCAGGATGGAAAATAGCTATCTCCTGACCCCACCAGCCCCCATGTGAGTGTAATGTATCATTACCAGAATCGTTTAGAATTCACTTATTAAAATCATGTAATTATGATTCATCATGCTCTGGAGTCCATTTACTGCTGACTGAGAGTGAGAATATTCATGAGGAGTGAATGTGGAAGAAAGTGGTTTTGTCCTGTTGGATTTATTTGGAAGGATTGAGGAAAATTCTACACAATCAGTGTCCTAGCTGACATTACAAATGAGGATCTGCAACATGAGAGCCACTGCCTGCATCTGTTATCTTTTTTTTTTTCTGATGATGCTAGTGGAATCACTGAATTGTATTGAGGAAATCTGGAAACTCGTGGACACAAATATAAGGGCTATTCAGAAAGTAACCACCGTTATTTTAGGCATGAGAAGTAGCGTCACATGACTCTGCCTTGTAAATCATCATATAGCTGGTCACCTAGTGTTTGTTCTTTTCTTTACAGAGTGAGTTTTTATATGTTCCTCGATTGATAATCCCACCAGCTATGAAATTTGCACTGTTATCCACTTTATTCGTGCTAAATACATTAGTGCTGCCAAAATCCATCGTGAATTATGCGCGGTTTACAGCCAAAATAAAATGGTCGTAGGAACTGTAAGGCAAGTTTTGTGCAAGATGGGTTCCAAAAATGATCACAGGTGCACACAAAATGCAGAGAATGGCACCAGCTTTGACTTTTTTTTAGAGCAATACCTCATAGATGGCGATGACTTTCTCAATCACATTGTATAAGCAACAGGTGATGAAACCTGGGTCTCATTTGTGAATGCTGAAACCGAAGAACAGTAAAAAAAAGTGGTTGTACACACATTCACCAAACAAGTCGAGAAGTTTAAACAAACGTTGTCTGTCACAAAACTGTTGACAATTATTTTCTGGAACAGAAGAGGAGTGCTGATAGTGAAATTCATGCAACAGGGAACCACAATAACGTCAGAAGTGTATTACGAAATATTAAAAACCTGCATAGGTCCATTCAGAAAAAAGGCGTGGAATGTTGACATCCGGTGGAGTGCCTCTCTATGACAATGCATGCCTGCATAGACCTGCTTACATTTGAGCGTTGCTAGAGCATTTCAACTGGGAGTTGTTTGATCATTCTCATTACAGCCCTGATCTCGCTCTGAGTGACTAATTCCTGTTTACCTATGCGAAGAACTAGTTGCAATCAAAGTACTTCAGCAATAATGAGGAGCTGATGGAAGATGTCAAAACGTGGCTGAGTTCACAGGCAGCAGAATTCATTGACAAAGGCATACCGAAACTTATTCCCCCCAATATGACAAGTGCCTCAGTTCCAGCAGTGACTACCTTGAGAAGTAGCTTAAGTACTTGTATGTACATATTTTTTGTATATGCTAATCTTTTTCTTATTGCTGCTTGTTTTGTTAACAGCCCACTGAAGGTTACTTTCTGAATAGTCCTTGTATATATTTGAACAGCTATTTCTCATAAATAGCTCCAGGGCACTCAAGTGTGAATACAGTCAGTTATTCAGTATAGAGGGGGTGGGTTTCCCCATGCACTGTGACTAATAGTCTATCGTATGTCCCCCTTTAATTTCTACTGTCTCCATACCCTACCGATACTGGTGCCCGCTATCTCCCCTTTCTGCCAGCAAGGTCGGCCCTCTGCTGGCATTGGTACCCGATAACTTCCCCATCTACCAGAGGCATTGGAAACTACTTGGGCGGGAAAGTTTTGCCTAATTTTGCTCAGAGGTCTCCTAGAGACGTGAGGATCTTTTATGTGCCATAAATCTACGATACGGGACCCATGGCTTAAATTCCCTCCCGGAGGACTTGTTCCTTGAATTTTTCTGCCCTTAAAAATTCCACGACCTCCGCTGGGTTTGAACCCGCGTAACTTGAGTCATGAGGTGGGAACGTTAACCCTAGACTACGGAGGCCGCCAAGTGTGAATACAAGTATTTACTGATGAAGGTGGTCACTCATTTCTATTCCTATCAAAGTTGAAAATATATACAGCATACCACTGCTCCTTCCAAAGTCGTTCACAGAACACTGTTTAAGTGCAGAGATATATCTAATTTCTTATTTTCAGATCGCATAATGGAGGCTATACAGTTCGACCCCGAGAATAGAAAGCTGTCTCTCATCAAGACACCATTACCTCCAGAGCCGAAGAAAAATGAAGTTGTGATTCGTGTGGCATACTCTGGCATCTGTGGAACTGATCTACACATAGTCGAGGTACATAATTGGCTGACAGGCAACTATTTCAGTCCTAAGTCTGGGACAATCTTTCTGGCTTTCAGTATCATATGGGTTTTAAGTAAGCAATGTGTGCCCTGCACTTAGCTGCAACTTCTTCTAGCATGGCTTCCTTCCTGCAACATCACTGCTTATCCTTTGTACAGAGACATAGGTTGTCATAGGTCTACATGTGGCTAACTTATCACTCATACCAAAGGTGTTATAAATCCTGTTGAAATTTCAAGGAGAAGCTGTCAAAACAAATTTCTGTCAGGGATACCTAACCTCAATAACTTGAAAAGTTCCAGAAAGACAGCTACTCACCTACCACTTGGCACTACAACTCTGGGTGAGCCTTCGCCTACTCTACAACCAGTCTTCACAACCAATGCGTGCTACCATAGGAATGGAGGCACGCATGATGACTTGAGGCTAGTTGTTATGTTTCTGAACAAAATTCTTTTTACAGGATATGGTTGTTAGCCTCATGCCCAACCCCAAACCTGGAGGAACAGAAAGACAGCTACCTTTATACAAATATACTAAAGTTCAGACAATAACAATAAGCATTACATGGTGCTGCTATAACTTCTTTCTCTTTCTTTCATTATTCTTTTTCCTTCTTTTTTTCTTTTCATTTTCCTTTCAACAGTATTTTTCTTTGTACATATTGATTCTTATATCATTGATTTATTCATCTTTTTCCCTTCATCAATATTCTTGGGAGTTCACCGACAGACGCCGAGCAGTGCAGACGTGTCTTGTGCANCTTTCTTTTCATTTTCCTTTCAACAGTATTTTTCTTTGTACATATTTAATCTTATATCATTGATTTATTCATCTTTTTCCTTTCCTCAATATTCTTGATCCTTATTCCTAGCTTGCCCATGCACAAAAGAATTGGATTAAAATTGAGTAACAATTTATGTTGTTCATGGCCATTACATTTAATGTCCCTGGTTTGGGGATTCACACACATCACTTTTGTGATTTCTGGAACATATTTTATTGCCCTGGTTACTGTGAAATATATGAAAGTTATGCACTCAATGACATCACAGTCCCAATGCTTTTCTCATGGAGCAAAGGACAGGGAAAAAACCAACTTGAACTTAAACCCATGGATGCCACAGAAAATTAACAATATTCTTGGGTTGTCTCCCCAAGAGGAACATTTCTTTGTATTTACTGCTTTCTTCTGTGATAGGGTGGAAGGAGTGGGCACCATCAAATTTGAACTTATGTTACGACTGATGGTCAGTCAGACAGTCTGTCTTGTTGTTAAGCCCCATTTGGGGCCCAGACCAAACATTTGTTACTATCAGACAGTTGCAGGTTTGTTGATATGGGGAAACCTCTCTGACAAGAGGATGGGTTTGTCATTTTTAATTTCTGCTGGCCTTCACCAGTGCAATCATTCTCAGGCCTGAGTGTTGCAGGACTCATAACCATACATTACTGCCTCAGATTTGAGAAAAAACCCAGTAAGAGGGTGGCCCAATTATAATCCCAGGAGCTGCATTCCCTATTCATTGCCCCCTATGACTCGCAGGGCTACAGTGGAGGTATTCGAACCACCTCCACATGGGCTAGGGGTACATACTGTTGTATATACTGACAGAGATTGCACTATCCAAATTATTCTGTTCAGTGTCGTTTGAGAGCTGACAAATTTAAAGTTCACCAGTTACTTGAAGTTGTCCATGTGCACAGGAATCAATTCATAGATTTTTAAAATTACAATGAAATTTAATTAATCAAAATTTTGTCATGACTCTTCTCTGCACCTGTATGTAATGGGTATAGTGCCATGCCTTGACTGCTGTCTGGATCACAGTGACAAACTACACCACTGAAGGATGAAGATGGCATTAATGGATTAGCTCATACAGCATGCGCCCACATGCACAAACACATACACACATGAGAAGCTTGCACATGCACACGTGCACACACAGACACACATATACACGCAAGAAGCTTGCACATGCATGTGTGCAAACACACACAAGCACACACATACACACATGAGAAGCTTGCACATGCATGTGTGCACACACACACATACAAACATGAACACACATGAGAAGTTTGCACATGTGTGCATGCCCCCACACAAGAGCACGTGCATGAGCACACATGCACAGACACAGAGTACATGAGAGTGTGTGCATGCACCAAAAATTTTAAAAAGTAAGGGTACCACAAATATTAAATATACTTTTGTAATGCTCATAGAAAAATCAAGAGAAAAATTTGACAGTTCCTATCTCATGCTATAGTTTCCACAGATAACCCTTCCACTCATCCACTCTTACACATTACAGAAATGGAAGATGCTTTGTAATCTGTCTTCACAGAATATGTGAGCTATGAAGTTCAAAAGTTCTGTAATACAATAAGGAAAATACTACTATATATTAATAGTCTAGAGGTATATTTTCTTCAGCAAAGGTCAACACTTTAAAGCTGACTGATGTTACTCTATTACCAACTGAAATGTCATTTATTGCTCCCATCTTCAGGACTTATAAGAAATAACTAAGAGTTTTGCACTTGGTTTTAATGGAAACTATGAACTGACAAACATCACAACAAACACTGTCCTAGTTAGACTAGTTATACAAAATTTATATTCTTAATTTTGACTGTAGTTTTTCTGCTGTAAAAGCTGCTATCTTGTGACATTTATCAAGGCAGGATCTAGCGTCTCTCTTCATGCTATCACTCCTTGTCGTCTTTGCACAACTTCACCGGTATATTAATATTCACACTTCAGCATCTTTGTCTCTTCTCATTATACAATACTACATGTTTTGGCCTAAGTGGCCATCATAAGGAGTATATAATGTTGGATTGAAGGAATCTACTGCTCTGCTATTATGCTGTTCTGCCTTTCATTTTGATGTAAAATGCTTCTAAAATATCTTATTTTAGGTTACTTTAGGTATCTTGCCGTTGTTATGCATATATGTGGTGTATTTTTTTGTTGATATGTTGGTTCATCCTTTTGTATCATGTGTAGCTCTTATCTACAATCTGTGTTTTCTATCAAATTTACACACTTCTGATTACAAGGTTTCATTGTCAGATATCTGATTTGACAAAACAGGAAAGAAAGCTAATGTCTTGTTGCACCATCACCTGGAAATAAATCAACTGTGTCACCACATTACAGGGTACATATCCCTGCCGTAAAATGCCTGTCATTTTGGGTCACGAGTTCAGTGGAGTGGTGACATCTGTGGGATGCGATGTTACTCATCTCAGACAAGGTGACAATGTTGCTGTAGATCCAAACAGGTACATGAATGACATTGCTGCATCAGCTGATGACATTAGCAGTAATGGTATGCAGGAAATTTGTCCAATGAAGTTCTGTTATGAAGTAAGCTACTAGTTCTGCACTGTTTGTGTGCTCTGTTCTCTTTTTTCTTCATCACCCAGTCAAAATATTGGGTATTTCCTCCATGTATATACATGTATAACTGGCCTCAGCTCCATAATATACATCAGATGATAAATATTAATCATGATATTTCTAGTTATGTAATTTTTACAGTTGCTCTCTGTTAGCTTATCTGTCTTGGGTTGAATAATGGCATATTAATCACACTTCAAAATTTTCTCAGCATGGGGGGTGGGTGACTATGGCATTAACGCATTCACTGTCAATCCTGTCACTTGCTGGGTTGAAGTTTACTGTGTGCCACTGTCAATCCCAAATGGCAAGCTACAGTCAATGCTGTTTTCTAACTAAAGATGTCACATAGATATAGGGAGACTCCAAGTGTAGCTTGTCAGAGCTCAAGGGAGTCAAAATGTACCCCAATTGTCAATTACTCTCCACATTCTCAACCACTTATGTTTTAAATGTAGTAAGATAACAAGAAGTTCTGGGAAGAACTAATCACCTACTCGTACTTTCCTTCAATATGGTTATAGAGGCTCAAATTCGAGATGGGAGATTGTAAGGCATTACCCAAATGTTCGAGGCTTGCGAAAAATGTTTCATAGTTATTACAGTAATCTGTCAACACCTGGACAGGCAAATAGGTTAAGAATGTTGATGATCAGCAAGTATGTGTAACCGCAGTAGCAAGAAGCTTGCCTCACTAGGCCAGTGGAGTATCATAATATTACCGCATACACAGCGATGAGACGCCCGGGGTCCGCCCACAACCACCAATAATAACCAATTAGAATATTACTATGAGAATTGAGGACACTGAGGAGGAGTTACCTACCCTCTGTCGTCAACAGCTGAATTAGCAAATTAAAACTATAAATTACGGAATTTCGGGGGACTTGGGATTATGATCTAACACAGAATATTCAGTTGTCAGCCGGAGGCGCTATTCAATATGGGTCTGACGAGTGCTGGAAGTTAGCCTGCATTCTTCTATGTCAAGTAAGTCTCTTTACGCATAACTGCCATGCTGGTTAATAATATTGTTGATAATAGTATTGTGGATAAAAGTGTTGTTGTGAGATTTGAATGTGCAAACTCAAGTGTACCCAGTGAGCCCTGAGGGGAGGATGCTAGAATCATGTAATTGCCGAGGATGTTAGTCAGGCAATAAGAGTGTTATAGCGTATGTGTCGTGGTTATGGTTAGCGTGTAGTGATAAATATAGTCTGTGGGTTTTAAGATGTAGAACTAGGGGTAGCTTGTATAAGAGTGAAAGAACGAAGGACAGTGTAACTGTATTTAATGAATAGTAAGGAACAGGATTACGTGGAAAGATTAATCCTTGCCGATAGTCAGGAGTCGAAG